AATTTCTCTAGGAATTGTCTGTTCTTCGTTCCTTCCTTCGAATTTTGTTCATATGTGACTTGATAGTGAGATAAGTTTGATAGGCTTGAAGCAAATTAATAACTATGCGTCGCAAATCAAATTGAAGTTTATAGCTTCTGTGGCTAATTCATAGCAATTTAATTGAAATAAATTTTGAATAAATAAATAAGACTGGATTGTTTTACACGTAACATTTGGAATCTTATTTATTTATAAAAATATACCAGTGGTCCTATTTATAATAAATATTGTCCAATTTCTGAAGAACACGGCAGTCATAAATTTCTATCCTTAATTATTTTGTTAGATTATTAACAATTTGGCTGTGTTAGGCAGTGGAAAATGTTGAAAACCTTCAATTCTCTCTGAATCACACTGAAGGGGTACTCCTGGGATTTGGTTTCCCTCCGACATTTCTTCTTCTTGAGAGAGAGAGAGAGAGAGAGAGAGAGAATGAGAGGGGAGAGAAAGAACTATAGAGAATAGCTTGAGTTCCAACCATGGCATCCTATTTATAGATTTGGATTGAGCTAATTAGGCTACATAAATAGCTACAATTCTATTTTTAATGAAAAAAAATAAAATGACTTTACATGAATAATTGTGACAAAAATATAAAATTAAGAGGAATTAACTTTACCTAGGATCATATGTTTGATTATCAACTATCTTTTCATAGATCCAAATATTGTTAGCTCAAATTATGATTACTCTTATATTAGATGTGATTAGCTGTATAATTTTATTTTCACTATTTTGAATGAAATTATTGAGATAATGAATGATGTTGTTATTTTATTAATAGACCATATTGCATGAAGTAATTTATTAAAATAACCTTTCATTTTTGTGAAGCTCATTCTCACTAATTATTGATTAGGAGAAAGAGACGAAGTGTCATCTAAGTTTTATAAAATGATATTATATTAATATGTTGAAATATCACTTTTTAAAATTTTGTTTTGGTGTTTGGAAGGAAAGGTGACATGTGGATGTGAGTGAGATGACTTAAAATATTTTGAGCTTTTCTATAAATAGGCTCTTCATGATTAAAGAGATTTTCATACATATTTTTCAGTTATTGACTGCTTGGAGCCATCTTTTTCTTGTACAATCATCTTCTTTTTAAAATATAGATGATGGTTTAATTAAGGTATTACACCTTCATAAGAGCATATTTAATAGCTTTTATTCATTCATAACTAACAAATCCTAAGATTCTTAGGAAAGGCACATGGTTTAGACTCATAGAGAGATAGTTGTAGACAAATGCTAATATTAATTCACACATCGATTAAAAACTAATTGGATTCAGTTTTATGTTGAACGTTTTTTGAGAAAAGAATATGTTGGTATGGTGATACATGAAAGAATCTTTTTATTTAATTTTTTTTTCTTCTTTTATATAACTTGAAACTGATGTTTATAAATCAGTAGTAAGTTGCTCTAATCAAATGGCATAGTCTTATAACAAAGATATCTTCATTAGCAATGAAGCTCAGAATTCATATGATTCTTAGGATTCAATTGATCTGTCATTTAAATAATCCAATAAGTTCTGCATTACAAACCACACAATTTTGCTCTTTAAAATTGTGATGCTATATAAGGAATATATATTTATTTTATGCAAACACCATTCACATGTTAATCAACACATATTTTTGCTTTTGTTTTTTTTTTTTTTTTTCACCATTATGACATCAGAAGCATATTAGACATGCTAGACTTCTTCAATAAATCTATCATTGATAAGCTAGTCGAGTCTTCCCTTGACATCATTAACAAATGTTCCTAGAACTAGAGAGAAGCAAGCAATAAGTAGGTGGTTCTAAATTGAGATCATTAGAACTTTAAGGGAAGCTATAGTCAAATTGCTAATGTTCACGTGAAATTGGCCTTTGACATTGTGAGTTGTTATGTCAAAATGACTCGTGTTCGAGCAAAACTAATTTCTAACATAGTGTCCTTAGAGCTCAACTTCCAAAAAAGACAGAAATATTGTTGGTTATTGATCTCAGTGAACTGAGCATCACAACTGACTCACAGTGAAAAATTAATGCATGATAATGATTACATGGAGGATATTTAAGGGTTCGATAACATGTGAGAAGAATTACTACCATTTGAGAATTCTTAGTTGCATTGTTTTTCGCCAACTCTCTTTTCTCAACAATTAGAAAATTTTTCTTATGGATTACGCCTCAAAGAAATGAATGGTGATATTTCTTGATTATTTGGGAGTAGTGAGGGAGTGATACAACACCTAAACTTTTTTACAATCATACCTCCCAAATCTTTCACATCACTATTTTAACATTTAAAAAGTGAAATACACATTTTCATGCATACTTAAGGTGACATGTAATGTAAAATTTGAATTTTAGATGTTAGAGATGCAAATACAAAGGAATTAAATGGTATGAATGCAAATTTTCCAAATAAATTACTTGACTGAAGTTTTGTTGAGAGATATCATGATTAAAATTATTCTGCACTTATTAATTATTTTATTTTATTTTATTATTTTATTGTTGATAGAGCGAGCATCCAATGTCTGTAAATGGTATCAATATTTGGAAAGTTGTACCCTAAACTAAAAGATATGAACGTTATTATCAATGGTGTTTTTCTGTTTCATCTTGTAGATAATTATAAACAAACCTATATTACAAGGCAGAAAATAGAATTACATACCCATCTTCTCTGCTAACTGCTCTAGGGTCTAGCAGCTGGGACCACTTCTTTTCTCTTGAATACTCCTTCCTTTTTATATATATATTGTTAACTAGAAATTACGCGATTTTTTTTTTCCGGTACATCGTGTCCGTTGTCCCGACACAATTCTTCGTCCGGAGGACGAGAAAATATTGCATCAGGACTCCGCATGTAGAGTTACATGCGAAGTCCAATAAAATCACGTCACGTGGCGGTGACATGAAAAAATATATATATATATCTGATAACACAAGGGAATATTTCTTCTGTATTATTCAGGTGTTATTGTGTGTTATTCAGTTGTTATGGTATATTATTCAAGTGTCATTAATGTGTTACTGTTTTATTATAATACTGAGAATATTCCCAGAACACAATAACACATCAATAATATATAATAACACATGAATAACATGGAATAATACGGGATGAATATTCCCCCGTATTACCAGACCGTTTTTTTTTCTTGTACCTCCAAGTAGCGTGATATTATTAGACTCCGCACGTAATTCATCGTGATGCAATAATTTTTCGGTCCGGACAATACCTTTTTTTGTTGTTATCACCTTCAGTTACTGGTTACTGTTGATAATGAATTCTCTCATGATATTTCTCGGCAACCAACAATGGGCGGTCTCAACATGATAAAAATGCAAGTTTTGTAATTAACAAAGATTTAACATTGAAAAATCTTGAAATTAACGCCCCATTCTAAAATAATTTATTCTCTATATCTTCTTCATTAAAGTAATCATTT